AGCAAACTCCAAAGTCAAGATCAAAGGGTCAAGGTTCTAGGTATTCAATGAAAGGTCTTGTTACGAAGAATTATTATGTGAAGATGAAAACCCTTACCCTAACCCTTCAAAAGTTATAGTCAATGTGTTTTTAAAAAGTAGGCCAAACTCCAAAATCCAAGTTCTTGGTATCCAATTAAAAGTCTTGTCACAAGGATTACATATGTGATGCAAGAAAGCCTGGCCCTTAATTAATGTTAAAAAGTTATGTCCGAGGTTAAAGTTTTTTTTAAAGTACCTAAATTTCTACGGCCAAAATCAAAGGGTCAAAGTTGTTGGTATCTAATGAAAGGTCTTGTCACAAAGAATAAATATGTGAAGTATGAAAGTCCTAGTATCTACCGTTCAAAAGTTATGGCCAAAGTAAAAGTTTAAATTTTTGTGTTAGTGTGTCTAACTCCAAGGTCAAGGTCAAAGTGTGGTATCTTTTGTAAAAAGTAGGTCAAACTCCAAGGTCAAGAGGTCAAATTTGGAAGTACCTAAAGAAAGGTCTTGACACAAGGAATACACATGTGAAATATGAAAGTCATAGCTCCCTAAAATAAAAAGTTCTGAGCAAGGTTAAAGTTTTTACGGACAGTCAGATGGATGTACACGACAAAAACTTTATATCCCCGAATCTTCCATTACGGGGTGCATAAATACAATGGTTTCAAAATACACAGTCATACTTGGACAATAATCTGGTTTACTGCTTTCTTCGCAAACCACAGCCAACATGTATGGTTTCTCCTATTCTTGGATGTTAATGCAAACCCCGGATCTTGACTTTCAGATCTTGGAGACGATCGTTTACTGCAAATTTTCTTCAACAAAAAGTTGGGTTTAAGGTCAGACGAGACGTTCCCAAAAAATCTGTTTTGTATATCTCCATAATTTATGAAAAATATACAATATCTTAATTACTTTTTGATTTCTAAACCAGTTTCTAATTGTTTTTTAAAAATTTGAAACAATAAAAATGTGGTTTGGGCAAATTATATAAGTTTTTTTTTTTTGTCAGTAAACATGTTAAAGGATTATATAATACATAGTAAATTAAAAACTTTATAGTCATCCTCTGTGCCACTTGCACACTTTACTTTTTTTTAATTTCGACACTTTAATCTGTAAATTTTACTTTTTAAAGTGTAAATTTTACACTTTAATCTGTAAATTTTACACTTTAATCTGTAAATTTTACACATTAATCTGTAAATTTTACACTTTAATCTGTAAAATTTACACTCAATTTTTTGTTTTACACTTTAATCTGTAAATTTTATACTTGAAAGTGTAAAACATGTTAAAGTAGTAATTCTTCAATGACAAAATCTTGGAAAAAATTATATATTAACATTTCACACATCCTCAGTAACACATTTTTAAGGAATGTTTCATGATAAAATTTAGTTCTGATGTTTTATATTAAAGTAAAACTTTTCTTTGAATATAAAGTGAAGAGCATATCAAACATACATGTCCTTAAAATGTTATAGATAGTAAATATAAAAACTTTATAGTCCCAAACATTCCTTTAAGGACATACGCAAGGTACCTTTATCTACTGATTATTTTTCAAGATATTCTTTATTTAAGATTATAGTGCCATCAGATGTTCATAGACAAAAAATCAACATGCATTACCAGGGGTTTTTTGGAAGATAAAAAATTATGAATTTTGTTTGCATTTATTAAAGGAAAATATACAAAAATTACAAAACATCAATTCCAGATTTTTTTTCCATTAAAATTTGTTTTAGAAGAGGTTTAAAAATCCATATATAGACATTAAAATGTCCTTCATTTAGTGGAACTCTTCAACTCCAGGAAAGAGCCCGAAAAAAGTTCAAACAACGTTGCGTATGACCTTAATTGTATAGATTCTAGCTGGTAAAAATAAGGTTCTCGGAGTCAGGTGACTAGGAGAGAGATGCAGAGTACGCGCCTCGTTTACTTTCTATACCTTCATATTTATTTATCAAATCAATATGGAAAATTTCATAATGTATTAACAGAGCCAAATTTATCTAATCCTGCAGAAAATTGCACACTGTTAACCGAATTATCTATGACAGTAATATTACTTAAAGAATAAAAACTAAATATCTAATTGTACGAGGGTTGTTCGAAAAGTTCGTGGACGATGTCCATCTTCGTTTTATTACTCACTGGAAATTTAAAACAAGCACATTATAATCTGTAAAAATATTTGTTTTGCTGATGTGTGAAGTTTCATTCCATTCGATTAAACAGAAATAAAATTATTTCATTTTAAAATCAACATGTTTTGTACCCGCGGAGCACACTTAACGGCAGTGTATAACGTCAACACATAGCGTCGAGAATTTCTAAAAGATACTATCCGTATACATTTCACACAGGATATTCCAATGCCCATTCATTAAATTCTTTTTCTAATACTCGACATTTATTTTCTAAGAATTGATCTCGTTGTATAATTTCCTTTGTTAAGGTTTTAATTTTTAATTCCTTTTATAAATTAACTCTGCTTTCACAGGATAAGCAACTCTGAAGCGCCTTTCTCTTTCATTTACGTTCCAAATTTTTAAAGTTTTGTTCAGATTTTTACAGTTAAATTGTTTCTTCACAGATCATTCTCATCCGATACAGCGTCTCTGTCACTCAAATATTGCCTGTGCTATTTGTACACGCATGCACAACTCGCTTGTGACATATTTTCTTGATTCCTTCAACATTTTTAGAGTTTATTCAGGATTTTTTCTGAGAAAAACACAAAATTGCTTCGTTATCTTCTGCTCCGTGACGTTCTTAAACGTCATCGTTTTTGTCGTTTTCAATCAGGACTACTTATCTTCTCAAGTTGATTTCTCTTCAACAAAGCAAATTATAAAACCATAATTTGGTACATGAATCGATGTAACAATTCTTAATTTGAATTTCTAGGTTGTTTTTCGTTTTTACTCCATTTTACAGAGAATATGACTATAGACATTATTTGTTGTATTGTCTGTAACTGACTAAATTTTGACCTGCTCCGCGATCCGATTTTTGCATTTTTAAAATCTGGATAAGTTTTTGATTAATCGTAATATTTTTAAAAAAATTAATACATATCATTTGGATGTATTGTTAAAATATTTCTACCAAATTTGGATAACATATGACGTCAAATTAAAAAGATATGACAGTTGTCCACGAACTTTTCGAACAACCCTCGTATAATAAAAATTACAATCACAGCCAATATTCCTAATCGGATCATAGAACACAGCCATTTGCTTGCCTTTCTGTTCTAGATTTTGTTTTTTCATCTCGGCTAGCGAAGATGTTTTCAAGAGGAAAATGGTTCATAGAACCTGTGAATCAGATTTCATAAATATGTACAAAAAATAACTCTGAATTATCAGAGTAATGTGCATTTACCCACTGTATTTTTAGCTCACCTGGACAAATGGATCAAGCGAGTTTTTATCACAAAAGATTCATGAGATTGTCGTCTGTCGTTGTCGTAAACTTTTCACATTTTCACTTTCTTCTCAAGAACCGCTGGGCCAATTTCAACCAAACATGCCACAAAGTATCCTTGGGTTAAGGGGATTCAAGCTTGTTCAAATGAAAGGTCACACCTTCTTCCAAGAGGAGATAATTATGAAGTGAAAAAATAACGGCATCTTTAAAAAAAAAAATCTTCTTCTCAGGAACAACTAGCTGAGCCAGAAAATTGCACACTGTTAACCAAATTATCTATGACGGTAATATTACTTAAAGAATAAAAACTAAATATTAAATTGTAGAAAAAAAATTAAGGCCAATATTCCTAATCGGATCACAGAACACAACCATTTGCTTGCCTTTCTGTTTTGTTTTGTTTTCAAGAGGAAAGAGGTTCATAGAACCCGAGAATATGCACAAAAAATAACTCTGAATTATCAAAGTAATGCGTATTTATGCATAGTATTTTAGCTCACCTGAGCCGAAGGCTCAAGTGAGCATTTCTTATCAAAATTTGACCGTTGTCTGTCATCGTTGTCATGAACTTTTCACATTTTCATCTTCTCGGGAACCACTGGGCCAATTTCAACCAAATCAATTTTGTTCATATGAACGGCCACACCTTCTTCCAGGGGGATATATACTTAATGAATAAGTGAAAATTAATGGCATCTTTTAAAAATCTTCTTCTCAAGAAATCATGACCTCCCAGTTTAACAATTTAGAGTGGGGCCACAATGTGTGATCAGAGTTTTACACAGGAATACATGACAATCCTTTTCAATAATATTGAGAATAGCAAAGCAGTGATTGGTCATATTTATACTTTTCAGTACTAAACTGATTTTCTGCTTTTCCTTGGCCAATGTGCTCAGGTGAGCTATGAAGCCCCTGGACACCTTCTTAAAGTTACATAGTTGATCACATTTCATGTATACCGGTAAATTTCAATTTTAAGCTTCATTCTGAGCTTTTTTTCCAATAATTAAGTTTAAGACTTGCTCAAAACTTCCGAAAGGTTGGTGCTTGTGTTTTCATATTTCACAGGTGTATTCATTGAGACAAGTCCTTTCTTTGGGTAAAAACATTTTTGATCTATTGACCATGAAGTTCGACTTGCATCTGATAAATTGGTAACTTTCACCATATGCTTCTATGCAGGCACCTCAATGTTTCGCCAACACATATTTCTTTTTTGCCATTGATAGCAGTGTCTTTGTTCCTGTAAACTATAAAATGTCTTCTGCTTCTGTGACTATAGTAAAACATGAATACAGCAAACATGCTTACAATGAATTCACTCATAAAAAGAAGTGTTTTCCCATTTCTTGTTGTTCTGAAATGTATCATCAACTTGTCTACTACATGGAATGACTTTATGGAATGAATGTTTATATTGATTTTAAAAAGTTTGTCCCAGACATATAAAAGCATGTTTAACTGTATTGAAAACACATCACTGGTTCTTAAGGTGGTAAACACATAGATTTAGAAGAAAGACCAACTCTTTATCATTTCATTTATTACCCACAGAGTAATTCAATACTGACAAGTGTTAGATAAGTTTGTATATATGTTATGACAGTAATTCTGTAAACTTATCACAGGGCCTGTTTCTATATAGATATTCTGTCCTGTGGCATTTTAGGATTGCCCTCTACAGAACCCCACACTTTGAGATGGCCACGCTCTTTAATGTTTTCCCACTGTTTGATCCACATTTCTCCATCTCACGCACAACATCCATTCCTTCTGTGACTTTACCAAACACGACATGTTTACCATCCAACCTAAAAAAAAGGATAAAATGTGCTTTAATAAATGTTAATATCATCCATTAGTTATTCCTAGAAATGTGATTGATGTGATGAAATTTTACAGAAGGCGTGTTGGCAACATCAATTTCATGGCCACTCTTATAAAGAATACTAGAACATATCCTTTTCCGGGAAAAATAAATAAGTATTTGTCTGATAAAAGTACTGCTTTTCCCCCTCTTTTGTTTATACTGTTATGATTGTGAAAAAAATATAGAATGCAGCAGATGACAAAAAATGGTAAACAGTTAATAAGCGGAGAGGAAAGGGTATAAAAATAAATCCTTGTTTGCAGCCCTCAACTCTTTCCCAGAATTTTAGGTGACTTATGGTATTCACACAATGTTCTTTCTTTGCCATTTTAAATTGATTCCTATGATTAACAGATCTACTGATAACAAGAAACATTCTTATAAGCTTCAGGCTCAAATAATATTTATAGAACTTTCATAACCTTTATAAGGATGGAACTCGCAACTTCTGATTTTTAAGTGAATAGCTTTAAGCAAAAAAAAAAAATTCTACAGATATAGTCATACGAAAAAACAATTTACCAAGGAGTATCAGCTGTGCAGATGAAGAATTGGGATCCATTCGTATTCTTTCCACTGTTTGCCATTGATAATGTCCCTGTTGAATAAATAAAAAGAAATATATGGTGAACAATATTTCGGATGAAAGTACAGCTACTGTAGTTTATGACCTGTAAACTTTGATGGTCCATATTGGCCCCAACGCATCTGCAGGGGTCATGATTTGAACAAATTTAAATCTACACGTACACTACATGTATCTGAGGATGCTTTGCTGTTCTTGAAAAGATTTTTATCCCTAGGCCATCTTTAAAATAATGTTTGTTTGCCCTCTCCAATTAGGGTAAAATTACTGGGTCGGTAGGTCTGTGGAAAAAAACTTTTTTAAAGATAATTCCAACATATTTGTTGACAGAATAAGAGATATAAAAAGAAAAACAATTGTGTCCTGGTCTCAGGATTATGAAACAAACCTAGACTTTAAAGTCAAATTTTTAATCGCCTATAAAAAATTTATTAATTATGGAATTAATTTCTTAATTTGCACATAATATCAGCTCCGTGAAACAATGTTGAAAAATATTTTAATTTTGGTCTGCTTGACTTCAACAACATTTTATTATAAAATAAAGAATTGACTTAAGCTTAAAATGTTTCATGATCCCGGGGCCTGGAGTGTAAAAAAAAAGTTTTGAGTTGGGCTATTTTTACCCAGTGGGCCAGTACAGCGCTACCAAACAATTTTTTAAAGATGGCCCTGATGACTCGGGAGTCATGATTTGAAAAAAATTTGAATCTACACCACCCGGTATGTAAAAAAAGGTTTCTTGAAAATTGAAAGCTTTAAATTTTTGGGCTCAGTGATTCTTGAGAATTTTTTAAGAAGAGAACACAAAATTTTCACTATTTCTTATTTATCTCCCTGTGAATGAAGAAGTGGCACTTCACTTGAAATTGGCCAAGTGGTTCTCGAGGAGAAGATGACAGATGGACGACAGACAGAATGTGATCAGAAAAGCTCACTTTCAGCTCAAGTAAGCTAAAAACATAATCAATGGCTTATATTGGCCTTTCAGTGTCAAAAGAGATACTTTAAACATCAATATAAAAGGAACTTTCAAACCCAATAACTTGTGAGGTATATTGAGAAATATTAAATATTTTTACTTCCAGTTTTGTATAGTTTGTGCACTGACAATTTGCTTGATATCACCTGTATGAGTCTTACAAATGCTGACATAAAGATATTGTCACGGGAAAAGTATGCAGAAAATTGAGACCAACAATTCAACATTCTAATTATAAACAATGAGCACATGGTGTGATCAAAAGAAAAATATGCCAATTTCTTCAATAAAAGAACAGTAGACCTTTGAATTTTTTAAGATAATAGTTTATAAATAACAGGTTTATCTATGAGAAAAAGTTGAAGTTTTTATGTACTTCCAGGCTAATCAATTGGATCCATAGCAATATCGTCAACAAAGTCTGTTGTGAAATATGATATTTTTGCAAACTGATTTGAGCATTTAACAGAATCTGGGGGAGTGTCACAGACCCTTATGTAAAATATGACGTAACCTCCTTAAAAAGTAATATATATATATATATATATAGTTATAAATAAATATACCAAGGTATATGCAACTGTGCTATAATGAGCAATATACCTGTCAAAATCATATTTATCAAAGAGAAATATTTATAATCATGATAATGGAATTATGTATACCCGGTAATACAGTTTTCTTCTAAAATCAATATAAGCTCTAAAGTACAATCCTCTCTGAAATGGGTAGAGGGAAAATAACACTATCACCAATGAACTATACAAACTTTCGTACTTAATTTATATAAACCCATCCTTCTGACCAATAAGATATAGTTATCGATATACATATCAAATGGAATGTTGCTGGACCAAAAGAAACATCAGGAAAACCCCTATCCTATGCAGTACATGTACAATCTGTAATACCTTTAGAACAGACTAACACAGCTGACTTTTATCCCCTTTATAAGTTCTGTCTTACCTGCTCCAGTGTGCTTTAGCTGGAAGTTCTCGTCCGGAAATTTACTTCCGTAGATACTCTTCCCTCCCGTGCCATTGCCCTTCGTGAAGTCTCCACCCTGAATCATGAAGCCGGGGATAATTCTGTGGAAAATGGATCCAGCAAACCCAAAACCCTTCTCTCCCGTGCACAAAGCTCGAAAGTTCTCTGTAAAAATAAGCATATATATGAGATTCAAGCAAATGTGGGAGGGCATTTTCTTCCAAATTAAAATTTTGGATGTTTATTATTATACGGATTAGCAGAGAATGTCTTTGAACAAGAAAGACATCATATATAGTCCAGTCAAACTAGCAAAAATAAGGGCCCAATTTTAAACTAATTATTTTGTCATATGAAATGAAATCTGTTTATGCACTGAATACTTGCTGCAAAAATCTAAAAAAGAATCTTAAGATCAGAATATATGTACATAGTTTTGGGGTGATTTAATTTCATTTTCTATTAGTGACAACTTTCTAAACCCCTTTAAAGTTTGCTGATGTAATCAACAGAAAATTCACAAAAGTGTTATCTATTATTTAGAATGATTCAAAGGTTGATACAATGACAATATTTAAATTTCTACGAATGCATACAAAACATTATTTACCTGCTGTTTTGGGGACCACATCAGCTCTCAACTAAATAAAAAAAGAAGAAACAACTCATTAAAACTGATCATCATATTTCTTCTGTTTTATGAATGCTTCATCCTCATAATGGCAAGGTTCCTGAGTCAACATATTGCCTTTGGACCCCTGGCATATTACTGTTTTTCTAGAACTCTTATATCAACCTTGCTGCAGAGAACAAAAACGAAAGTAGCCCATCAACAAAGCAGAAACATCCCTGCATGTCTTCAATGCGTGCGTTTCATAATTTTCGTTTGTCGGATGCTCACATAAAGTTGTTTATTATTACAGACAGAAAGACCAATTCTTCATGACCTGTGTATTTATTGAGTTTTTCGCTTTAATTTAACAATATAGCATAAATACACGAGTGACCCGTAATTGGATACAACCCGATATTGGCGACCACTGTAATATAATTCTGCACTAGGTGAAGGAATCACACTCATCTATGGCTCCCTGTACACAAAGTCACTTAATGGTGTAAAGTTACGAGGGGTGATCAAAAAGTTCGCAAACTAATTGAATAACTTCCATACAAGAAACAATATTTGGTTTTAATGTTGATGATATTTTAAATTAATCCTCCCCGATTTTAATGCACATCAACCAACGTTCTGCGCATGCGCGAATCACGTGATATTGGCAGTCACGTGACCCCCTCCGTAGCATTCTGTCACAAAAGTTAAAAGATTTTTCCGAGTTTTATATTTCTTTCCATGTGAGTTAATTTTTATGACAAGAACAGTTAGTTTGTCAGAAATGGTCATATCTCGGCAACAGAATGGGTGGATAATAACATCCTTTCCAAAAATAAGCATGGCGACCATTAAAACACAAATCTTCTGTCTCAGGAGAGACCTTTATTCAAGGTGGATAGAGAATGGGTGCATCCTTTTTATCATATCTAATATGTTTAAAATCTAAAGTAAACAATATCTTAGGTATTTAATACTTACATCATTGTTCAAATATTCAAGTATTTTTCAAAGTGCTAATTGGAGGTCTTTGATAGCAAATTGCTTAATTAAAAATACATATCTTTTCAAACTTGCTTTCACTGGGCAAGATGACAAGTATCATTTTTAACCATCAGCCTTCCTTCACTAAAACGATCAATCCGATCATTAATTATATTTATAGGAACTCATTTATCTCAATAAACTGTGTACAAATTATTATATGATACTGTAAAGGGATTTCTAAGATATTACAATAAATTGTACAGTCGTTTGTTGAACGAGTTCGACTGAGACAACCATTTTTCGTCACAAGTGACCTAAATAGTGAAGACATTTTCACATTGTGACGTCACAAACAAGGAGAGAAACTTTATTCAGCATATGCTATTTATAGACCTTGTGTATGGCTATGTGTGTACCGAATTTCATTCTAATCTGAATTGTGGTTTTGTAGATATAGAGATAGTTTGCGAACTTTTTGATCACCCCTCGTATTCAAACAATGAAAATACATCTCTTGCTTTAATGTGTTTAAAAGCAGCAAAGTTTAAATTGCTGCTTTTTTATAACTCCTTAGCATAAATACATAAGTATTAGTAGTCATACTTATGTGGCGATCAGCGGGGTTTGATTGCCGGTGGCAGGATAGCTAAGTTGTAGTGCACTTGACCAGAGATTCAGGGGGCCCGGGTTCAAATCCCTACTGATTTGCTGCATTTTTCTCCTCTCCTGTTACATTTGGTGCCGTGCCATGCCCTTGAACTGAGAGGTGAGAGGCCTGTCAGGGATGAGCCTGGGTTGTGGTCTTTGGAGGGCCAAAAACCTTTAAGGAGGGAGGAATGTGGCGATCAGTCAGGTCCGATCGCCGGTGGCCAGATAGCTCCGTTGGTAGAGCACCTGACCAGAGATTCAGGGGTCCCGGGTTCGAATCCTGGTCTGATCTGCTGCATTTTTCTCCTCTCACATTACATTTGGTGCTGTGTCATGCCCTTGAACTGACAGGTGAGAGGCCTGTCAGGGATGAGCCTGGGTTGTGGTCTTTGGAGGGCCTTTTCCGGTAGGGGTTACAGAAGTAGGATAAAACCAGAGACTTTGAAACAGAATACTCATAAGTCTCTGGTTTTGACGCTCGATCCAAGACTTCTGAAATGATTTAATTGAAAAGAAAAAAGTCTTTCAAAGTGAACACAGAGCTGTGGAAAACTTTTTCAGGTAGCCAGTCATTCGGACCGGCAAGAAGACAAAATATGCCGGTCCGAAGTAATTTTTGCCGGTCCGAAATATTAAGTTGCAAAATTGAAAGGAAAAGCATAACATTTATTTTTTTTTATTACACTTTACTTATAATACTTAATAATAACATTCAATCTTCATTTCCAAGTCCACCTCCGTTTTCGTTTTTTGCTTTTATAACAATACTATATATTTAATCACTTTTGCTGTTTCGGGCAGATGACAATGATAATTCGATCTGCATAGTAAACATATTTTTTTTAAAACATTATGCATTTGGGAATTATATTTTACCCTGAAAATGAGTCTAAGAAATTCTGTGCATCAATAATGAAGATACCAACATCATAAACATGATTGACGAAAAAAAAAACGAAATCTAGGACAGTCGAAACGATGGAAGTACTGGATTTACCGCTTTCCTCAATTGTGTTTGAATTTTTTTTTTGTCGAAATGTTTTACATACCCAGGTATTTAACCTGTCTTTTTTTATGTTTTCTACCTAATTCTGTCCCATTTGTAAGTTTAAAAGGTCACGCGAGACAATGCTGGTTTCGCTTTCATTTATAGCCTCGATCTCGTGCAAAGAAAAAGTATTGCGCAATCGTATTTAAGGTATGATAATTAAGCTGGGAAGTGCGCCGATGATAGGCCCTAAATCAAAATGGAAAAAACAAAAACCTTTAACAAAGAAAGAGGTCGGTCATGTGGACCGACATCGAGAGCGTTTTTACCGGTCACGGGCATTTTTTGCCGGTCTTGCCGGCATGACCGGCAGTTTTCCACAGCTCTGGAACAATGTCATTTTAAAGTACATTAATGTTTGATATACATGTATTAACAAAGTACGAGCTTGAAGGATGAACTTGAAAGGGGGGGTGCAAGAAATCGAGTTCGGTACCTTGTGGTAAAAATACAATGTGTACACCAGGTCACGTGTTAGCTTGATGTCGCGACCTCTATATAAAGCAGGGATGGGGTAATGGTAATGTGTAATGGTAATTGACTGTAATTAATTACAATTTTCGATGTAATTGAAAGTAATGTGTAATTGGCTAAATTTTCAATTACAAGTAATGGTAATTTAATTAATTACTTTCCAAAAAGGCATGTAATTCACAATTACTTTTCAATTACATTCAATTACACTGATTTTAAATAAATGAAAAATCCTCCTCTCCACCACCATCTCATAAACATTATTTAAGAAAGGTTAACTGATTTTTTGGAGCAAATAGAATTTCTTAAAAAGAATTTTAACATAGTCATATTTCCCTTTTAAAATATATTGCTAATTAAATATTGTCCTATTTTTTTTTCTTAAAAACTTTTAAATTCAATTAATCATTGTAAAGTGAAGAAATAAAATTCATATTTTGATTTTTTAATTAATTAATCCATATCAAAATAAGTAATCCAATGGCTTCTAATCCTCTTGTTTGAAATATCTTCAGCTTGTGTTCGAAGTTATTATCAGGTGCTAATTAGTCCCTGGGGTCATGTACATATTCCTTAATTATAGATATTTTTCACACATTTTGACCTTGTCTCTTGGTATTTTTATACACACACACCTTTGACTTTAAATTGTTGTTTGGCACAGAATAAGTCAAATACCAACATTTTGAGAATATCTTAATATGTTGTTGAAATGAGGAAGTATTAATGCAAAAGGCATCAATTGTACTTTAAACATAAATTTAATCGAATGTTTCATGATTCCAAATTTTTAACATATAAATTAAGGTAAAACTATGAGTAAACTTTCTACTAGTCAGTATCTATGTATTCCTTTCACAAATACCCTAGTGAACAGAATCTTCAGTGTGGCAGGAAAATCTTCAAATCTAATAGATGTAGGTTAGAAGACACAGTAATTGAAAATTGTATGAACATCTTAAAAATATTATTGTAAAAATATATTGTAAAATAATCTGATAGAAATATACAGGATTAGGAATGTACATGACTATTTCCGTTATAATTTATGCATGTTTTCTTAAATGTAATGTGTAATTTAATTAATTACATTTCAAAATTCACGTAATGGTAATGGTAATTTAATTGAAGGTTTTTGGAAGTAATTGTAATTTAATTAATTACATTCCTATGTAATTGACCCCATCCCTGATATATAGAATGGTAAAAATAAGTATGGATGCCCCATATACGAAACAAGAGCCTGTGATTTTTATCCTCTCCACTTACACTTACATTTTTTGTCTATGTTGTGTATTACATATAAATTGCAAACTTGTAAAGAGTTGCATTGAAACAGCTTTTCAGCTCAATAAAGCATATATGGCAAGAAATTGGTACTGTGTTTTTAGGTGATACTTTTGTACCCTAGGGTACACCTCTATTTATCCTTTACCAATAAGGTTACAATTAGGGTACAGTACAAAACCATTGGAAAATGAAAGTAGAAAATTTCTGAAGGACTGTCAATGTAGCCGGGTTACAATGGGTACAGTGGTTACTTATTAACATGATTAACAGTAATAACACCTTTTCTACTTTTATCCTAAAACTATTTGATTTTAGAATTTAAACAGGGTACGGAGGAAACTATATGCCTACAAAATCACAACAATTGTCATTTTCATAACTTAAAGTGTTTGATTCATATTAGCATGATCATGACCTAATGGCTTCAAAGGTCTACATTACAAAAAACAACCACACTCATGTAAGTATAAGTCAGCTTCTTACCTTTAATTATATATGATTATAATAGTCCTGATTCTTGAAGTTATAATTAGCTACACTGATAATTATATTCCATACTTGAGCATTGCATGACACACCTGATA